GACAGGTAGAGAACAGCATATCCCACACAGCTCAGTGTATATACTGTGATATACAGTTTATCATAGAAATGCAGTTTTTTGGAGACCCTTACCTCTCCATCATAATTGCACAAATTCAGATAATGGGTAAAAAGGTTACCAATGAAAGAAAGCCTGCCAGGTATTTTTGACGTGACCAATTTTTGGAGGAAATCATGCTTAAAAAATCAGTTCAAGTATACTTTATGCTTGGGTCTGAGTCATGATCTCACAGCAAATAAGAACAGAGGTAGGCCAATTATTCTTTACCTAAACAAATGTCCAGACATTCAGTTTTCAATAACCATAACTCCACTTTATATACTGCATAATCTTAGCTGGAAGGAGGCATGTTCAGCTGCCCTATTAATCCTCCAGGTGAAGTCATCCTTCAGCAGATATAGAAACAAATGTTCATATAGGCAATTGAAAGAATGTCTACTGTTTCATGGCTGGCCTCTGTTTCTACATTGCAACTATAAATTCCAGGAGTTATCTTAATAATGCTCTTTTTCAGCTTGATTTTTTTATCTAGATTTATTGTGTAATCTAATGGCCCATGTTATTTCTCTATTTCTAATACTAATATACTAAAATGAAATAATATCGTCCCTATACGTTATCAAAGCTATGTCTCAAGCTCAAAATTTTGAACCATTAACTGTATTATGTTGCATATCTGATACCAACCCTAGTTTCACTACAGTTTTTCAGACTACTCTAAAAGACAGTAAAATTTCTGATTTTTCCTTTTTAGATCGCAGTAAAAAACCTGCATTTCAATTTGAAAAATGAAAAGTCTTGGTAGTAAAGAAGAAATCTAGCATTAATTTTGTGAAATAATGAACATTTGTTTACACAAGTACTATATATACAAGATCTTTCTTCTCTGCCCTCATGAATCTAAAACAGTTGCAGAGGAAACAAAAATACTGTAGGCTAAATACTAACATTCTTTGCTTTGCTATTCTTTTAATAATGAGCCTCCTTGGATAGCCAACCCCTAGTCTTACATGTGTTCTGTATTTGTAGATACATCCCTGTCAGGAAATGCTGTGAAATAGAAGTTCCTGACAAATAAAGTTCTTGGCCTTAAACATTCCATAGATATTACTCAAATGTCAGACAGAATATTTCCTAAACTTTGGCCATTATTCTATATCTATTTAAAAACCATAATGTTCTTGGAGATAATTAGTAATACATATATGGGCTATATGGTCACTGGAGTTTTTCATAAAAACAAAATAGGGAAAATGTAATTAATTCCATTTTCTATGGTGCTATCATTGCTTGTTTCACATGAAGAGAGCATAGTTATGAATCCCACTATATCCGCAAAGTCCTTTGGCCCCCTTCTAATAACTAGGGATGGAACAAACAGGTTTTGTCTAGTTTTGGACCCAGCTGAATATGAGATAACCAAAGGTTTAGTCTAAAAGTATTGGCTTGCATTCCAATCACCATGAACTGCAAAGTAAAGGGCAGAGGAAAAACCAGGGAGGAAACTGCAAAGGAGAAAAATAGAGTGAAAAATAAAGCAAAGTGAAGCAATGTGAAGCCAAGTAATAAGGCAAATATCAAAACTCAATAAAAGGGCACAGAGGAAGGAAATTGAAAAGACAAACATTAGTATATTCTCTGCTTTTCTTGGAGAAAAGTATGGGTAACAGAAATTCATAAAGTTCTCCAATCAGTAACACATCCCAGAGGTGAAGAAATCCTATTTTAATTGATTCAGTCATGAAAGTGAAAATTAAAAGAGAATAGTTTACCTATCTCCACTTTTATTTAAACCAGCAGATCCTTAAATGATGTTCAGTCTGCAAACAAAGTCCCTCACCAGGTGGGAAATGCCAGACTCAGACTGTCTCTGCAACCCTGTTTCCCACTCTTGGTCTAAAGACTAAGCAACAAATTTTGTAGCCTGGGTCAAAGTATTCCTCATTATAAAATAATACTTCCTTTCTCTTTTAGCAAGATGAACCTGGTATCCAGAGAAATTATGGTCTAAGTTGTCCATTAAATTCATATGAAGAGTAACAGGTAAGTACAAAATGACCTTCTTGAGTCCTTTGCATTTGATGGTATTTCACACAATAAAACTGCAGCTGACACTGACTTCAGTTACTGTTATGTGGTTTCAGCTCTGCAAATCAGAACCCATGGTCTCGGATTTGCACATCCAGCAACTAAACCAAACCACAAATCCATACAGTCAGCCTTCCCTTGTGAAAGTTGAAGCAGCATGTCTGTCTGCCACACAGCCCTCAGTGGCAGAGAGATCCACTTTACCTACAAGGATTACTTTTGTCTCTGCCTCAAGCTGCCCCCCTGCTAACAGAACCCAATCTCTCAGGTACAACTCCTCTTGCACAATGCAGGGCAAGAATTCTGTAGAACCCCCCCAACATATAATGTAATTAAAATGAGTCATCATGCTTTACAGTCCTTGAAATTATAGCCACAATTTTGTATTTCCTATCTGTTATGCGCTGAACTTTGCTGGATTGCTGTTAGCACCACTCATTCATGTTATCTCTTTGGTATTAATTGAAAACTATAAAGGAAACCAGAAACAGTGTTGTGTTGCACATGTAAAATTCCACAGTAGAAAAGAATCCAGACAAGCCAGCTTGATCTCCTGTGTGCACATACATACAACCACGGGGTTTCACTGACATGACACAGCAAGGAATGAGATTTGGTCAAACTCCTCTTCCATGTTAGGTTGTTTAGGACCCCCCTCCCCATGTAACAGAATCTCCTGCTCCCAGTTCTCTATTCCAGCCCCTTTGATCCACCTAAAAGCCATTTCCTACTTTAGCCATCTCATTCAGCCTATACCTGCCCTCTGCCACCTCTTCCACTTTTCCTCTTTACCACTTCAAGACCACATGAACACCTTGGCTGCTGTTAATGCTCACCTGTGTTACTCAGCGCTTGCCCCAGAGCCCTGCCTTGTGGCTTCTATGGTTTTTTGGCTTCTGCCATATCTGCTGTCCCTCCACCACCCAGGTCTGTCCCTGCTTCTCACAAAACATCTTTCAAATCACTTTGGACAGTGTTTGGAGTTTACTGGGGGTCATCCAGACAATCCCATTTCCAGAGAAAAAAACCCACACGGTGCATTTCCATCTCACTTATAGTATGCTCCCTTCAGAAGTACCAATATTTGTTCTTCAGCATCTCTTACAAAAACAACTCACAGTAACATCTTGCCTAAATTAAAACAACCATCCCAATGCAGAAAGCCAGTACTTAACAGGGTTTAATTCACGCTCAAGAAGACAGTAAGTGTAAGCTATAAATACTAAAACCACATGCCATGCTGCAGCACTACTGATATACACTAAATTTCCCTTTACAGAAATTTCACCTAAAATTCTAAGCAGTGATTGAAACCCTTGCTTGAAGTTGTAAAGCATAGCCCAACAACATTTTGATAAAGTGAGGTGATAAAGTGAGTAAAGTGATAAAGGAACAGCGATTGCCATAAAAATCACATCCCATTAAAAGGATACACTTTTCGTTCTGTAAATCCCACATGATTTCCTTTTCTCAATGCACCAAATAAATGGGAAAATACAAAGGGAATAAACTGCTGTTTAAAAAACTTTAACCTGGTGAAAAACATACTGTTACAGGATTTTCTATGAAAGTTTTCAAATTTTAAAAACTTGACTGGGAAATATAATTTAGTATAAAATCAATAAACATTGGTTACCAAGGCATAAAGAATTCTACATCTATTGTTTTTTGGAATAAAGGTTTTCCTTTTTTGCAATACATCTCAAGATCAGAAATGAGTTTCCACATTACAGTGCTAAATAAGTAAGAAGTTCTGTGAGTGAGACTGGTAATTTAAGCCCTCCCACCTCCAGCTTTGCTATTTGCTCTCTTCTGCCATTAATAAAGTGCTTCAAACACAGTTTCCTTTGTAGAAACAAACAGATCATCTGTCTCAAACAAACAGATTATCTGAGTAAGACTAGGTGTCATCACTTTTCCCTTCTTTGTGAAATAATAAAAGTCATGCTGCAGGAAAGAAAAATTCTTTTAAACCTTATTCAGGTGGGAATAAAAACTGTGACCTTGGATGTCATGTGTGTGAAATGAAAGTACAGTTTCAAGTTACAAAGGTCTATAATCTACACTTCTTTTTCCTATGGATTTGGGATGGAGGGACAGCAATTTTTATTCTGTACTGAAAAGATTCTACTTCTTGTTCATATTTAAATATAAACTCTATGAAGAGTACAATTAAAATAGTACTACTTTTATTTCCTGATTGAATGGCAATTTACCTCATTTTACACCATGCAGATTAAATGGCTACTTTTAAATGCAGTTCTAAGGAGTACTGTAACAAAAACTCAGTTAAAAAGAGGCAGGGCTCCTGCAGCCCATTGCTCAACAGCTCAGTGAAAGTAGATTGTAATCTTATATTATCCTCCACATTTGTTTGCATTCTGAAAGCATTTAAGCCTTTCCAAATACACTTGATCTGTTTAGTTTTTATACAAGAAATAGTTTCAGCTGCCTTTTTAGGACCCACAAAGAAGAGTTTTACTTGCAGGGTTTAAAGATTCTGTGCCTGCACTGATGTCTATTTTCTCTTTATTTTCCCCTATTTAATCTTTCTCACACTTCTCCCACTTCAAACCAATATTTCAAATAAAGCTTTACAACACAATAGCACATTTAGACTGTAAAAGATTTTGATTTACCATTTTGACAGCTCAACATTTTTAGCTTGTACACACCACCCAGCCAAAACTGCACAACAAAAATGTTTTGAGCCCTTTTATTTTCAAAACAAATGCTTTACGTACAAGAATCTGTTGTTTAGAAACAACACACACACATACATACACACATATACCCCATATTATGCAATAACTGATGCTTGGGGTTTATTAAAAGCACAATGATTGCAAATGCATTTGATTATTTTTTTGCAGCATGAAATTACCAGTTACCTTTCAGGAAAGGAGCCCTCCGTGGCACAAGCCTTTCTGTGATTTCCACCTGCTCCTGCTGATGCTGTTTAACCAGGTTTCCTTCGCTGCCAGCTCTCAAAATCTTTTCCCCTAGCCTAATTTTTCGTGACCGGCTGTTAAAATCTTCTTTCCTAGACAAAGGCGATTTAGGAGCTGTGTTAGCCGACACAGGTCGAGCCAAGCGAGAGGGTTTGGACATCCTGCCTGTGCAGGAATGTACCTGCTCCAAAAGCAATTTCTACAAAAATCCTTTGCAGCTCACTTTCCAGCACAGAGGCTGGGGAGTTTGTGTGTGCAGCGCAGCTGGATGTGCAGTGCTGTGCTGCCAGCCCGAGCAGCTTTAAACGCCCAGCGTTGGGTGGTCACGCAGTTCCCCAGACCTGTGGAATGCAAATGTGTGCTGGGGTAAAGCAGACGGCTCTGTCCCGGTGCTGAGCCCCAGCCACGCCGTGGGGAGCAGGAGCTCTTGCAGGGGCTGCGTGGAGCTCCTGGTGAGCTCTGAGGAGCGCCCTGGCACCAGGGAATGCTCCACCTACGCAGGTACAGCGCGGAGAACCACCCAGCTCGGGGTTACCTCTGCTCTGGGACCCTCCCGCGCTCCTCTCCCAGCCCTCTCTCTCAAACAAACACTTTCTTGTTTCAGCAGATTTCCTCGCAGTGTGCCAAAACCACACTGCTTCAGTGCTGCACGGTACATGCCTGATGTCAAGAACATATTTGTCTTTGAGTTAAGCACGGTGCAAGCTCAAATTAGATTAAATGATGCATATTCTCCTAGCACTGTTTTATCTAACTCACCAAAAGAAAGGAAGGATTGACAGCAAATATCATCTCTCTTTGAAAAATGGCCCAAATCCCTTATTATTAACTGGCATTGTTTAGGAAGCAGCACTGCACAGAATATTGCCCATTATACTTTCCTATTTCAATGGTACATATGTATCTAGAAAACCCCGGGCTTCTTACACACTACAGATAATCATGTTCTTTACTGACTCTCTAAAGGAAAAATTCCTGACCTCAGGCTACATTATTTCAAATTTCAGTTCCTGGGTGCTCATCTTTGAAAATGCCCAGGCAAATCCTGCCTAACTTTCTCTGCCAGCTCTGTGCTTGTGAATGCTGCCAAGACAAAGAGCATTTGGTGACATGAAAAGAAAATTCCATTCACCATAATTTTGGAAACAACTTCTAAAGAAAAACAACACAGTGCAAACAAAAGAAAACATCAGAGCTACAGTTACAGTAAAATCTTCATGCTGTATTTTAAAATGTATTTCCCAATATCCCAGGCAACCAGTATGCTGCATCTCTAATAGAATATGAGGGTCCATTTTATTTTAAAACTAGAACAAACAAGAAAATCAATATTACACAAGCTAAACCTACTAATAGATATTTAGGAGAAATGCTTAATAAGCAAAAAGTGAACAAAATGTGCCTTAATTATTACAGCCATTCCTCATTTTCTGAGACAGCAATTGTGCAATGCAGTAAAATATTTTTGCAAGTTATTTCTATATTGCTTCCAAGAGTCCTACATTAAATAGGTACTTGTTTATGCTTCCCTGTAAAGCATGGTGTCTATTGCTTTGTTGCCCTATCAAGAATTGGCCAGATTAGGTGCTATACAGAAAGCCTTGCCATGATATTATTCTGCATATTATATTATCAACACAGAAGGAACTCTGAGTGGGAAGATTTCTACTCACAAGGAGAGACCTGAGGGGCATGAGAGTAACTGGGCTCATTAGCAGTGCTCAGGCACAGCAGGTCATGCAGAAGACAATGAAGAACAGAAACAGGGGTGAGATAGGATGATGAATGGAGAATTAATCACGTAACTGGAGTAAAGAATGAGTGAAGAAGGAAGAGAAAATGTGAAACCCAGTATGTATGTGACAGCTCAGTTGTACTGAGCCTAAGAAGTACTGTCGTTGCCTCTCAAGATCTTGGACTGTTTGACCAGCTGTAATTTTTAATATCTTCCATTATGACTTCTCACTGTGCAAGCAGACACAAATGCTGTATGCTTAAGAAGCTTTTTAAAGCCATGACAATAATGCCTCTGACACTACAAAGACCTATTTTAATTCTGCAAAACACAGAACAATTGTGAAATAAAATCCAGTCTTGAGTGACAACAAAAATAGTATTTCAGTTTTTAAATCACTACTGCTAAAGCAAAATCTAACTGAGATTGCTGTACATTACACATTCACCCAAACTAAGCATCCTTATCACAGGTTGCTCATGGAAAGAATGATCTAATCTGTGAAGGGGAATCTAATTAGATGGTCATGTTTCCTGTAACTTAAAATAATTTCTAAGCAAAGCAAAGACATCATGAATGCAAGATTTTCCTAAGGCTCTCTCTAGTGAGGTAGCAAAAAAGATGAAGAAAGGGAGATCCATCCATCAGCTTTTGCTAGGAAAGGCCCTAAGTTGTCCAGTTGGATGCTAAGGTGACACTTCTGCACTGAAAGAGAGCAGTGACATCCTGGTTTTGACAAGAAATCTTTTTCTCACAGCAGAGACACAGCCCTGCAGAAATGGGGCGAGTCAAACACATTCCTCAAACACGGGAAATTCCTGGAATACTCCAGTCCAAGAAAACCATTTTCAGTAACATCTCAGTGTCTGATGGCACTGTGTCATGGAAGGAGAGGCTGGGAGAGCTGTGCCTGCTCAGCCTGGAGGAAGCATCTTCTCCATGTGCATCAGCATCTGATGTGAGCATAAAAGGGGAGGGAGCCGGGCTGTTCTCAGTGGGGCCCAGCAGCAGGACAAGAGACAACAATCACAAATTGAAACATGGGGGGGAAAAAGAATTTAAGGCTTCTTATAGAGTGAAGGTGGTCAGACACTGGCACAAGATGAGCAGGGAGGGCATGAAGTCTCCATCTTTGGAGATAAGCAGCACCCAACCAGGCACAGCCCTGACCTGCCTGAGCTGGGAGGTGGACCAGGCCATCTCCAGAAGTGCCCTCCCACCCCACAGAGTTTTGTCATCCTGTATTATCAAACTTCTCAGAAGCTATTTATAATCTGGAAGCTTAAATATCTTTTAATCTGTCCAACAGTAGATGTAGAACCTTTCTCCAAAGCCCTGGTATCTAAACTATCCCATGCCTGACAGCCACTTCTGGGAGGATTTGCTTCCTTTCTGGTCATTCATCCCTTCTAGCTTCCTGCAGTCCATGGCACAGTGTTGTCCTCTTTCTGTTTGCTTCAAAGGCTCTGAGATGTGAAGTTGGTGATTCCAGCTATCAGCATCAAACCGTTAAAAAAAATCCCCCAAAAAACCAAAACACCAAAAAACTCCACCCCAAAATCCCCCCAAACCCTGATAATAAACCATCCCAGAACATCAGCTGAGGTTGCTCAGCTGGCTGTGTTCAGGCTGGATGCAGACACAGTAAATCAGGGCACCCTGGGCTGGAATAGCACAGGGATGGAGCCAGGGCTGCTGCAGCTCCCCCCTCACCTGCACAAGTCCCCCCTGCCCTGGGCTCCTCCCAGCTCTGGGCAGGTCCCTTCCTGCCAGTCCCTCCTCTGCACCACTGGCTCTCATTGAAGTTCCCCAGGGAGCAAGTCTTTCATCGGCTCTCAGGCTTTCTGAAACCCCAAGCTACTCTTTTGAACTAAAAAAAACCCAAAACAAACCCATAAAACTGAAAATAAACAGACCAAAAAAAAAAACAAACTAAAAGTTCAAAACAAACCCAGCCCCTTTCCCTTCGATTTCAGATAACCAACTCCAGCTAGATAGAGACATCATATTGATGTAACTTACCATTCAGCAAAAGCAGTTCAGTTTGTCAGGTTTTCAGAAAGTGCTGTAGGAAGTTTTCTAGTGCTTTGGGTCAATGAATGAGCTCTGCCACAGCCTCACACAGCAAAAATTGATATTAAGGGACCAACAGTGCAGTCTTTGCTTTTGAATAATCACACATATAAGTAAACAAGTAATATTTTTAGAAAACCATACACTGTTTAAAACATTGTCCTTTTAGTTTTAAAACTAACCTCTCCTCTTTCCGGCCTAGAAAATAAATTGCTGCTGAAATATGACAACAAGAATTGGTTAAGAGTTAGCAAACAGAAGGCATTTTTACCATAGCATATTAGATAGGTTATGATACTGCTATTAACTTCAGAAATGTTTGTGCCCCCTGGGATAAAAGAAACGTGACTATAGATGTTATTAATCCAAACAAAGCATTTGCAAAGCTTGAAATTTCCTTTTTAGGGCAACCATGGAATTCTAGTTTACATTTGCACATAAAGAGCTGGGGAGAGGGGAGGATCCCTTGCATGTGAACCAGGAAAATTGGGAGTTGATGCTCTACAGTTCAGGATGTGGTGCTTTCTCAGCCTACCAAATCCTCCCCCAGATTTTGGCCTGCAAGTATCTGAAGACAGAAAGATATGTATGCAGAAATATTTCAGCTTCAGCAGACTCTTTCTAAACTATTGACAGGCAACAACTGCTACACCAGTAAATGGAAGTTGCAGGTGCAGAAGTTAAAACTGCAAATTAATGAAGTCTTCTCTTTACAAAATTATGCAAGTAACCAGATGGCATAACATTTTCTGCATGAAATGAGAAATAAATGTATAGGCACCAAAAGAACAAGATCAGTGATGAAAACAATTTCAGATGCAAGTCACCGATAGGTATGTAATGTAATAATAAAAAAAAAGCTTGGTGCTTCAGAGAGCTACATTTTCCAGTAACTGAAGCATGCAAAATTAGTGACAAGTTAATTTTGCAGATGTTAAAGCTTTCTTAGAACTATGTACCAGTGCTTTATTTCTCCATATATGATTTCTGAAATAGTTGCATACTACAGAAGATGCTCCACATTCAATATATTGAGACACATTTTAAAACATTTCCAGTAGATCTGAGGACATTCTTGCTGGGAAAATAAACCATGCAAAAGGAACCTAGTCATTCACTCAAACACAAGTGAACACCTCCAACAGAAAGCAAGCTGTATTTATGGCAAGTCCTGTTACTCTTGAATATGGTCTTAAAAAGGAAAGTCTGTTAAGGACTGCTCTAATATAATAGCTGCCTAGAAGATTCTATAATTAAAGCAGAGTTGTCATTTATATCAGGAAATTCTGTTCCAGAGATTTACTACTCAGCCATAAAAATTTAATCTCAGTTCCAAGTCTTAAAAAAAAACCAAAAAACCTAATTCATAAAAAAATCCTTTAGGTCTATTATATTTCCTTCTATTCAAAATTTAGTAAATTAAACCATAACAAAAACTTTCTCAAAGATAAAAGCATTTACAGCTGTAGAATTGAAATACCTTATTCTGCCACAAACCCAGAAATACCATCAGCAAGGGCAATTTATTATTTAATCACTTCTACATCTTATATTTTGCTTTGGTTCCAAGGCCTTCAAAGTCCTGGTTTGCCTGAGTACACAGGTCTGTGGCCTACTATTGAAGT